CCCACCCACACCCACACCCACCCTCACACCCCCACACCCACACCCACCCACCCTTTGAATGAAATCTTTGTTGGAAACAGGTTTGATCGATCAATATTTAAACAAGCAAAAATTTGGATCATGTTCAAAGTCCACCTCATACCTTATTTCTCTTTACACATAGATTAGAAACAAGAACTTTGAAGGAATTCGTTTAGATTTGATCGATATATCTTGTCGATAACATTTCTCATTTAAATTTGTTTTAGAAGAGAATAAGTAGAAGAACAAGTACAGAAATACAAGAATATTTTTCGAATCAGAGTCAAGTCATTGGAGCGTTCAATCGTACATATGAAGATACGACTGGCTTGTCAACAGTCATTTTGGAAAAAGGAAGATTCGGAAGGATTTTTGAAAAATTGTTTTCGAGGATAGCTTTTGAAAAAGAAGGAAAAGGGAGGTTATTATTTTTGCTGTAGGAAAAGAGTTTTCTGTATTTGAGACACATCAAAGTATCTAAATATTATGAAACAAGAAAGTTATATAAACTTTCAACAGCATACAGTTCTCAGCAGAGGTCAAAATAAAAGATTTACATGTGTCGAGGCAGTAATCTTTTCAACTATATAGCTATATCAATAAGGACAAGATTTTCGAAATAAACAATATCTACTGACTGATGCACTTCTTATTCAATAGATATATAAACAAAAAAAATCATAAGTTCATGTAATGAATTTAAATTATTTATAATCAACCCATTAAAGAGCCTAAACTACGTAGTTCCATGTTAAAACCTATCTAAATTAGCAATTTCTAAGGAAATATTTATGTTAGATTCTGAATATATGTCAAAAAGATATTATTAACAATGTTTTATGTATTTTTTTATCAGAAAGAGGAAAATATAAAATAACTTGTAGTATTTTGTCTAAAAAACATGTTTAATGCTTGCTATTCGTCAAGCAACTAAGCTTAACTTTCTTTTTAATTGTTACTTGCGGTAAATATGAGTTGCAAATGTAAACCATGATATTGTTAAAGGAAACAACTAACTCTGTAAACAATGCTCTCTCTCAGTATTCGTGAGTAAGTATATTACTGCTACAAAAATTTCATAGATACTCATCTTCAATCATTATTCGTTCTTTTCAGTAAATACTAATATTTTCAAATATCATTGATGAAGTATTTCTTACTTCTCTCTTTATTAATCTCTTTCGCAAAACATTTCTTTGGCAATTATTAAATATAAAGCTATCACATTGACACGCCTATGTATTGAAAGAGATATTTTCGGATGCTAAAGTAGAACTATAACAAGCATCATAAGATACACAAGATTCTTAACCGATGCAAGGATGAGGATTAGATCTGCTATAAGAATAGGTGTTTATCGAATTCTCCTATTTAATCAGAGTGCGTTTCTAACTATTTTCTGAGTAACTACCGTGAATACAGACAATTGTACCAAACAGTTTGCAAAAATATGTTTAAATCAATGTTCCAACTGCAGAATTTCATAACAAAAGTAGCAATAAGAAGGAAAAAGAGGAAAAGGAAGAGCATTCGCAAGTCAGAGATACGGATATGAGTCAGCGGTGGCAATCGTGATGTACCACTTTGGTGATCGTCAGAAGTTATTGTTTTCTGAAACTTCGAAAGGTGACACAGGTGGTTTCTTTGCATGCACTCGAACAGTTTGGAAAAAGTTCAACTAATGAAACGTATCTATATATGATACCAACCTCTTAGTTTTCATATGGAATTGGTGCCCAGCTGTTGCTTTCTCGAGTAGTGAAAATCGCAGCTTTCTCTCTCGCTCCTATTAATAGTTATTCAAAAAATGGTAATCTGTCTTTTATTTTCAATCGGATAATAGTTGGTGTGATTGAAAACATTGTTGACTACATATCTTTGATACATGCCTACTGATAAGAACAGTATTTATTCATTTGAATATAATTATATTACTGAAGTTTTCATTTTCACATAATAGATACTTTGATATTAATATACACTTTTATACTCGTTGCTAAAAGTTGAAAGATTTTTCATATTTATTTTATAACTTTGTTTATGAAGTCATATAATGAATCTTTTAAAGTTTTTCACAACCAAATTATAAAATAAAAGTTAATCAATATTTATTATGTCATTCTGATAAGAAATAAAAGATTCTTGAAATAATACATTTATGAGTTTATCAGTGGTGAAATGAGTTTGCCACTAAATAAGACAATATTTTGCCAACTTTCACGAATGAAGAATAGAAATGGACGATCAGCTTTAAATTCAATGGGCTGTGGTGGCGGCGAGCTTGGTCCATGATGAGTGATGATGACGGCTGTAGCTGCTGCTGCTTCTGATCCTAAATAAAATTATGAAAAAAAAGATAAGGGAAAATCTGTGACTTACTAAACATGTTTTCAAACAAATATCAAAGATTTAGTGCAAACACAGTCAATCTTTTTATTTTAATATATCAGAAACATGTACTTTATTGCTGAAAAAATATTTTTTTTTTGATTAAAGTCTGAGTAAATTTTATATTCGCAAATATTGAAGCATATATTAACATAGTAAACTTATAGATCTAAGAAACTACCAGCTAATAGCATGAGATTTTTTTTTTATTTCTCGAGTAGAAAACAAAAACAGATAGTCATTATCAAATTCAATGAATTCAATTTTTGATGTTTTTCGAAAGTTCTACAGCAGTAGCAGCTATTACTTTCGATTCTCTGCTGAAAAGAATAAAAACTAAAAAATATTCTTTTTTTTTAAAGATATCAGTCAGTTAAAACAATCGAATAACAGTTATCAACATTAATTAAGATGTCAATAGCCATTGTGGTTTGCCAAAACCCTAATACTCTAGATTCATAATTTCATTCATGATGAAAGCAGTAGAATATAACATTCGATGCAAATCTTGGCACAAATGTCAAACTCTGTTAGATCATATTGACAACTTCTAAGTTAATCAAGTTTTTTTTTGTTAGAAAGAGGAATGTCTCAGCTGCAAGTTTTGTAGCAGACACATTTTTCTAGAACGAATCTCAGAAGGAGAAAAAAACCAAAAAGTAAACATCTCTAAAAATATTCTCGAAACTTAACTATTGAGCAACATCATTTTCTATTTTCTGTTAGCTTCTTTTTTGTATCAGAAGTAAAATGAACAAACACGTTTAATGATGATTTTTGTAGAAAAAAATTGTTCTTTTCAATGAGATATAGAAGGTAAATTTACTCTTAGTTTTCATACCAAAATATATAGCTTCTTCGGAAAGAAATTGTACAGTTTGGTTGTTTCAGCTACTTAATCGTTTTCTAGTAATAAAAAATACTTTCTGAATTGTTTTCTTTCTGCTAAGCTTCTATGATCTGACATATTTCGAAAAAATAGCGCATAAAGAATTCACTTCATACATGATTTTTGGGGATTGTGGCTAATGTCCTCCCCAACTGATAGTTCTTGTAAAACACTTTATTTTACAAAAATTTCGATTTTCAAATTTTTTTGATTCGAGAGTCAAGAACGGATCTAAAAAAATTTCCCAACGCTGATATGGATAGAGCTTTTAATACGCTACATTTTGGGTGTATTTTTTGTTAAAATTTGGTCCATGTAGCAAAAAAGAATCTTTTTGATTAGATGCGTTGTCCAATGGGATCCCATGGAAATTATTTTCATCTCATTCCATTCCATTCAGAACTCTGTAAGAAAAATATTTTCAGCATGTTATATACTCATTTATATTAGTAGTTTTTAATTTTTCAACGAAAAACTCGAAGAAAAATTGTTAAGAAATATAAAACCATATTTTACTGTATTTTCCTCAGTGAAAAACAAAACTGATCAATTAGCTTTAAACTCAATCGTCACATTCATTATTTTTCAAACATTTTGTTTTTCGTCTCATCATTACTCTTGTTCCTTCAGAAACTTCACAATTAAGATAATACATTACCTTTATCAAACAGACTACTTTTCAAAAAGAAAAGAAACAAACTAACCTTCTTCGTTTACATCAGTAAACGTTTTGTGAATAACCTTAACATTTTCTTATCAATAAATTATTTACTTTGCTAATGTATAAACGATCTCTACAATTTTTTTCGTTAACGATACCTGTGAAATTTGCTTTATAACTACTAAATGCATCTTTCATTTCAAGTTGTTGAAGAATATCACTTAATTCAAATGTAGCTTCCATTTTAAATTTTGATAAATATAAATGAACTTCTTCTGTTCTTGTATTTTAATGACTTAATAATTTTTGCATTAAATTAGGTTGTGATGCTAATTTTTGTTCCACAACATCTAATTGAACTCCTCGATTAGATAAAATCACCGTAAAAACAAATTCAGTGTCTTTATCTTCACTTTTATATGGTACATGAACAATTTGTACACGTTAATCATTATTCTCAGCATAACCAAATATTTCTTGTTGATTTTTATTATCCATGTACCATATGGTTCAATTAATAGAAACAAATTATTTTTGTTTCATTAAAATTGATATTTACCTTAAAATAAATACTATTAATAATTATTAATTTTGTCTCAGATGTCACATCTTTTATTGAAAGTAAATCTCAAATTGAATTATTTGTTTGTTGTTCAACTCATGTATTGATTCTTTGAATAGCTTGAGCACCTTCATTCTAAAGATCTTCCTGTTTAATATCTGTTTTAAATGAATTTTGAACAATTTTTAAATATTCTTCTTGAAGTTGATATGTTTTTTGTGCATAAAGATGATTAGCTAATTTAAATTGAACTTGTTTATCTTGATTAGCAATAGAAAAGATATGCATAATTTGTTCAGCTGTTTTTATTAATTGTTTTGTAGATGATACTTCAAATGTTTTTAACATTTGATTTAATGTTTCTTGTCGAGCACCAACTGTACACATTGACATTGCAAGAGAAATACTTGCTGATGAAAGAAATATATTTTCATTCTTCTTATTTTGACTAACAGTTGAGTAAAATTTGAGACCAAATTGTTCGAAACTTGTAGTTGTTGATGATGATGATAAAGGCACAAGAAGGAGAAGTAAATGGATTACTGTCATCAAAAGTCATATCTTCAATAGAAATATTTATGTTGTCTAAGAAATGTTTTAGGTTTTTGATAGATATTATCCTAATTTTTCATTTTATTCACAAAAAAAAGGAATAAAAATTGCGAATACAAATGCAAACAATGATTCTATGAATGCCGAGACTTTCATTCGTTCTATATTTCAAGAATTACCCTTTTCCTTTTTTCTTAAGAATTGGGTGTGGATGTGGGTGTTAGTGTCGATATTGCTGAAAACTACACCCACACCCTAATTTTGGTTGTCTTCTGAACTCCTAATCCCATCCTCTCTCGATTCTGGAATCCACATGTGGGGCCTGTCAAAAGTAGATCAAAATGAGCTTAAAGTTAAACCATTCGGCTCATTTCATTGCATAGAACTTTAGTCAATTGTTATTGTTGTTTCTATTAGAAATGTTTGCAATGACATATTTTAACAGAAGTATCTTATATTATCTCCGGTATGCAAGAAAATATGGGAAATCTTTCTTGTGTGATATAAGCACGGAGTGTAATAAAATGCATTATTTAATAATTGTTTAGGTATACTTTCATTTTTCTCGCCAATGGTACCAGAAACTTGCAACACACTCATACGTACATATAAATTCTTATTAAGAACTTCTTTGTACATTACATCAAAAAATACTGCGATTATTATTTGCTAGAAGGAACAATAAAGAAAAATGTTGAGTAATCATTGTATATTGCATATTATTATTCGTTGTTTCTTTTGCTCCTCCTAATAAATTGTAATTGTTTCATGTTTTGATACTACATAATGAAAAAATTTTCTTTTTTATATTCCTATATGGTCATTGCATGACGATGCCTATTCTAAATTGTTGAAAACTCAAAATAGAGCTTGATATTGGTTAAAAACTAAACTACGTTTTCTTTTGTTGCAGTACAATACTCAATCATTGCAAATATTTTCTGAACTGTAGAATCACCGAATGTTTTTGTTTAAAATATGCTCAATACTGATTCCACAACTTAAATAATTAAAATCAGCAATAAAAGAATTAATTAAATCCATAATAAATGTGATCAATCACCTGAAAATATAGACATGCACAATCACAGAAAAACGTTTCATCTACCATTTTTTACGATCAAGTTTATGTAAAATGTAACACAGAAAAAGTTAGACGCGATTTTTTTCTGTTTTCTTAGCAATTACTCTTGGATCTACGTATTTCACTAAACCAAGCTTGAGTTTTTTTCTTTTGACTTTCAACACTTTGGATGACTATATTATTTTGTTTCGATTGATGTTTGTTTTTCATTTGATATTGTCTTTCTAAACCACACAATATCATATAGGTATGCTGAAGTAAGATATCATCATGAACTTGAAATACTGTTAGATCGGCATCAGTAACACGATCATTCCATAGATCTGTTCGTTCCAGATAGAGTTGAATTGGTACATCAAGACTGACATTAGCATTTAAAGTATGTATCATTAAACGTTTGAGTATCAAAATCCAATTATCAATAATTTAACAAATGTTTGAATTATTGTAGTTTCTGAAGCATTTTCTGATATACTCATTCTTAAATAAGTAAAAACATAATCAAGTGAACCAAGATAATCAAGAATTTCATCGTTATCCATTGTAGTAATTAAACTTTGCAACTTAGTTCGATCAACATTTGGTAATTGTTTCTGTTTTATACGAGTTCGGACATCATTGATTAGCGAGGTATTTTCTCCATAGAGTTCAAATTGATAATTTAGAAAATGTAAATATTCAGTATCAATTAAAACAAGTGAACTTATGATATTTCGGAGTGTTATATCGATTTCTTCATAACTCTAAATCACATCACAATCTGTGCCATATTGATAATTAAGTATAAGACTATCATCGATTAATTTTTTATTCAAAACATGTTGATCAAAACACAGAATATGCTCAGGTCGTATAGATTGAAGTGGTACACGCTTTCGTTGAAGGGTGTGGGTGTGGGTGAGCAAAAGCTAGGCATTCACACCCATCTATACCCATATACACACCCTTGTCTTAATACTATTTAGATTAACAAAATTGTATTCGCAAAATATTCATTTATCAAATTGATTCATAATGGTATTGATATTCTTTTAAGATGTGTATATAGCATTCTTGTAGATTGAAATTGAAATCATATTATTGATTATACTAATCTAAATCCTTTCTTGATGCAAAATAGACACATGAAAATGTCTAGAAAACTTGAAGATGCCGATGTAGATATGACTTGAACATATTTCGTAAATTCACATTCACAGCCTCCTATTTATTACATTGAAAACTATGATTTCTTTTCTCAGCTAAACGGTTAATTTTTCTCATAATTAACCAAGTCTGTTGCTAGCATTATTACTCGGTTTAGTTATTCTATTTCGAAGATCGAAAGGAAGCGAACTTTTACGGATCGAATTCGATCCAGTCCGAGTTCAATTCGTTTTCTGTCTCTGATTTCAGTCATAAATCATATTCAGTCTTTCTTGCTATTGAAAGAGATTTAATCTTTTTTTTCCGCATTTCTGTCAGATTCAACTAAAAATATGTTATTTTAATTCCAAAAACTTTGACTCTTCTCATAATCACTACATATGTGGAAATTTTTCGATTATAAGGGTGGGTGTGAATGTGGCATAAATACAAGACACCCACCCACACCCATCCTCATCCTCTAGTCCAGGGAGGTTAGCGGCCGACACGTTACTTATTTGTAGAAGTTGTTTCATAAACAGTATTTCTTGTTTATTTACTGAATGAAAAAAAGTCGATCGTAATCATACCGTTATCAAATACGCCTTGAAGGTTAGATTTTCAACAGTCATTATCGGATGGGCTCCGATAGTCTGAAATTTGTTGTGACGGATCAGACTGTAACTTTTGCCATATATATTTACTTTTCGATGCTCTATTGAATGATAATTCGAAAACTTTAATTCAAGAATTTATATATTTGTGTAAATAAGGAAACAAAAAATAAAAGAAATTAAGGAATTGTCAATGAAAAGAGATTAGTTATATCTTGTTATTGCTTGTTCTTACTCTTTTTCTTCGATTTTAAACGTTTTTTATTCCCAAAAGCCAACAACTGGCGTTAACGACGTAACGAGCTGTGCCTGCTGAATCCCATTTATAGTACAGTTTCGTAAAACCACAATCTAAGCATAATCGTCCTTCTGTTGACGTCAAAGGTGGATCATACACAGCAATACTAGAATTGCCATCGGTAGCTGTTGCTATAGTGACAAATGTCGTACGACTTTCTGGTGTTGAGTATACTGGATGACATATGGTAGAACCCTCGAATAAATTTGTGATTCCGGTAAAAATTTCATGTTGACAGAAATTTCCGGTTTGCTGATAACCGTTGTCTTTGTATATCATTGTTTTTTCGCCATAATAGTCTCCTTCCACAGTAATACCAAATTTTCTTCTAAGAAATTCAGATACATGACATACGTATGGTGTATTATCGGCAAATAAAAAAATAGCACCACCAGCTGAATGAAAAGCTGTTAAAGCTGAAATAAATTTCGAATTTTGAATATGAGTAGAACTGATAATCCATGCAATTTGATAACGATTTGAAGCAAGCTCTGTTATACATTCATCTTCAGTCATTACAAGTTTCACTTGAAATCCTTTAATCTTCAGTGCATCCATTGGCTTCTGCATGTCAAAGTGATAAAACTGTCCAATTAAAATATTAAATCCCATAAATGCTCCATCTCGACCCAAATCGTATTCTCTTCCTGTTGGATTACCGTACCGATCATATTTATTAGCATCAATAATATTACTTTTGCCTGCGACCTCGTTATATGGTTGCAATGGCGGTGAAGTAGTAGATGATGATGTACATTGTTTAACTGTTCTTTTCTTAGATGATGTACGTTGTTTAACTGTTCTTTTCTTCTTTTTGATGTACTTTTTTCTTACAGCACTTGATATAACTGTTCTCGTTGTATTTTGTGATGGCATTTGACGTGCTAACGTAGCACGAGTAATGGCTACCATTATCTGATTGACAATGAATTAAACAAGTTAAAATGAATTATAAAATGAAGAACCTCAAAACGAGCTTTTTTAAAAAGTCGATATGAGAAAAGTCATGCACTAGGAAAAAAATATATATATCCTGGCGATTGCACCAATTAATAGTTCTGGATTATATTGATAATTAATCTACTTTTAGAATGAATTGTACAACATCTGTGAAATAAAGCGACAGTTTATATAGTAAGAACATGGTGTGGCTATTGTGCAATAAGTAATTTCACAACACTAGTGAACTATTGTGCAATAAGTAATGTCACAAGAGTGGCGTAACTTTTTCTTTTCCTGTAGTTTATTGTTGTCCAAAAAAACCAAGTTAACTTAATATAAACGCATTGCGAAAAAAACCAGCTTTCTTTACCGACATATATAGAAAATGACAATATCAAAAATAATATATATATATGAATTACTCTTTAAAGAGTATCACCGAAATACTCAAATCAAAGGAATTAGGGTAGAAGTATATACTTACATATAAAATCTCTCAAATCATTCTTCGATGTACAGTAATAATTACCTAGTTTTTCTTGAATATTCAAGAAACTAATCAGATCTAAATACATATGTGTAGCTCTATGCATTAGTCTCTCTTCGAATTTGCTGTCCTTCCTAAAATCCATACTTTTATAGTATAAAAATCTACGATCTCATAATGTAACTATAAGATAGGATTGAAAAGTTTCATTAAGGGAAACCCCCCCCCTCAGAAAATCGAGTTTTTCTTGAAAATATCGAAGTTGAGTTTTTATTGCAGGAAGGTGCAGCCAAGCTTCTTCTTTCAGAATATATATGGTTTTTTGGAAAATGATCAGATTTTCAAAGACTTATCACATAAAAATTAAAATCCACTACAATATTTTCGTAAAAAACTTCATGGTTTTTTAAGGCTGTCAGTTTCAGAAAAAATGCGTTCCCACTAGCATTATCGTTGAATAGAACATTTTCATACTAATC